TGGATGGATGGATGGGTGGATGGATGGATGGGTGGATGGGTGGATGGATGGCTGAGTGGATGGATGATGGGTGGATGGATGGAGGCTGGATGGATGGGTGATGGATGATGGGTGGATGGCTGGATGGAGGGATGGGTGGATGGCTGGATGGGTGGATGGATGGATGGCTGAGTGGGTGAATGAGTGCGTGTCATCCCAGAACCACAGTTGAGGCAATCTCAGAAAATTAAGCCTCTACAGGGTTGAAATTGAGTTTCTAAATTAACCAAGATAAACTGTGACAAAATTTCTGAAAATTTTTGTTATTCATATCGCCATCCTCAAAGTTCAGAATGGTAGTGGCCTCTGGGAACAGGCAATGCCTGACTTATTAGAAATATATCTGAAACAAGAATCACAAAGTAGAATGCTTTGATGGAGCTGGGGGTGTTACACCATTGTTCATCACACTGTTTAAAAAAATTGATTTATTTATGCATGTGAGCTGGGGTACAGGGCAAAGGTGTGTGGGGGAGGCGAGAGGACTCCCCAGAGACAGAGTGGGGAGCAGGACAGGCGGATCTACTGAAACACACTGCTGAGCGGAGCAGCGGGGAGACAGGAGCGGTCTGCTGCGCCCTGTGGGTCACTCCCTGGCCGGGGATCGAAATCATGTGACAGTGGCTGGTGACAGCTTGATGGAGCTGAGACTTTAACCTTGTGCCACAGGGAGGCCCTATACTATTCTTTGACTTTACGAAAGTTTGAGCTATTTCAGAGTAATAAAGGAATGAAGAAATTCTTCCTTCCCACCCAGAAGCTGACATTAGTCTGGACAGGGGAGAAACTACCCCAGGTGATCTTTCTGAGGTCAAGTTCACAGGCGCGGGGAAGCTGCAGCCAGAGGTGGGTATCAGTACATACCATCTTCAGCGACACATCCAAGAGCTCTTCCTCTGTCTTCTGGCGCAGGCAGTGAACAAGCACAGCCGAGGTGGTAGTTTTACACCCAGCAAAGAAAGCGATTTGCTGCAGAGATCACAGAAGACAGCAGAATTCAAGGTGCAGCCCCCTGCCGCCATCAGTAAAAAGGTACTGATGTCTGAAGGCGGCAGGGCTGGCAGAGAATCCTCCAGATTGGCAGGTGTGGGTCCTGGGTCCTAGCCATACCACATACACAACCTCCATCTTTGCTACCTTATCTCTGTTAAATGGACATATGATCTCAAGGCTGAATGTTGGAGCCTTAAGGCAGCCTGGAGTGGGCTGTCTGGTTTCAGATTTTAGCTCAGCCACCTACTAATGATTTGGCCTTGAGGGATCCATAGGTAGGGTGAGGGAGAGGGGAAACTGCTAACCCAGACAAAGTTCTGGAATAGTGCCATGTGGGGAGGGTGCTTGGGTGCCCCAGAGCCTAGGATCGGGTCTGACTCAGCACGCTTGAATGTATTTGTTGAACCCATCAATGCTTTGTATGTGTGTGTTGAATCCATCAATGCTTGCATGTACTTGTTGAATGAAGACAAAGACACAGGGAGAAGTAGAAGAGGGCGAGGAGAGAATATAAGAGGCTTAGTTTCCCTTCTTTTTGCCAATTTCAAGTTCCTGTTTGACGGCAAATGCAGTTCATTTATTTCCTGTCACCTCTTTAAATAAATTCCCCTTTCCTGACTTAAGCCTGGTCAAGTGCTTGTATTGTTTACAACCCAAAAGTTCCTTAAAACATTCTCAAAAATCCCCCAACTTTCTGGAGGCTTCTTAGGCTCCCCTCCTACTTGCTAGTCCCCCTAGTCTGGCTGCTGAAGCCAGCCTCATGCTGACTCATCACTGCCAGTAGGGGGCGCTCTTCCTCAGCAGCACTTCCCTGTGGCACTTTCCTCGGCTTCCTAATACTCCAGATAAAGACTTTAAAATCCTCACCAGATTCCTGTGCATCATGCTCCCTGCCGCCGTTCCTGCCAGCAGTCTCCAAATTCCCTCTGCTTCTGCTCTGGCTACATCAGCCTAACTTGCTTGCTCTCTCTCAAGGTAGCTCCTTCTGCCCAGGGCCTTGGCACCACACTCAGGGCCTTTGCTGTGTCTTCTCCCTGGAATATCCGTTTCTCACAGAGTAAATAACTGCCCATCCTTCTGATCGCAACTCACTGATCCCTTTTCCAAGTCATCTTCCCTGCTAATCTCCCCTTACACTCTGGAGTAAGTGCTTCTTTTGGATGCTGTTCTGACATCAGGTACCTCTCCGTTATCGCTCTCGTCACACTTGGCATTTAGTAATTAGTTTGATTACGTAACCAATAATCTGTCTCCTTCCTTAGAATAGAAGCTTCAGAAGGTTTCTAGATGTCTCTATGTCAAAACCATCTGTTGAGGGAAAGAATGAATTCTCTAGGAACCAGCCCTGGTTACAGGTCTTCAGGGAGAAACCACTCCAGACCCACATCAAATGGGTTTCACCAGGACTCAGACCGGAAAAGGACACAACGACAGTCCAGGGCCTGCAGTGCGGTCAGAGTGCCCAGAGTGCCTGCTTGCCCTCGCAGCTTGGTGACTGTGGCACGTTTCTCCTGCGCTCCGATTCAGTTTGCTCAGCAGTGAAACTGGTGGTTGAATGAGGTGTCTCCTTGCCCTCTGCACTCTGCCATTCTCATCTTCAAGATTCTTTGAGATGTCAGCTGGATCCCTTGGCAAGAAAATTCCCAGATTTCAGGGCACAGAGCAATGGGTACAAGAAGGGTCCGGACTGAGACCTACCTGAGCTGCAGCGTTCATTTCCTTCTTGACCAGAACAGAGGTGAGGGACACGCCACTCTCAGAGATGGCCCGGTGGAAGAGGTTCTTGGACAGGGGAGATAAAACCTGGGAGGGGAGGCGAGAGGGAGAGAGTGTATTCTTTTGGACAGGAGGTCTCCAAGGGCTTCCAACATCCCCTGCACAGCCCTGGCCCATTTCCCTGGGGACCCTGGAGTTCAGTGGACCCCTCAAAGACTCTGTGGCCTTGCCTGTTCCCCAAATTGACCTGAAAGGCCTAGATGCTCCAAGAAAACCTCAGCAGGAGGAGCCAATACATAGTATAAGGAACAGAACATGCTGTGTGTGGCTTGTGCCACATTCTGATAACAATCAGAAGCATCAGGACACTTGTTAGTTGCCAGCAACACTTCAACAGTTCTGATTTCTCATTTCCATTACTCAGTTTTTTCTTAGAAAAGTGATTATGGAGGCACATCGTGCTACTGAGAATGTTCCAGCTGTCTATTATAGTAAATCCAAGATTCCAAAGTGACAAGATTGCAAATATAAAAGAGTTCGTTCTGCCCCTGGAATACTATACAGCTATAAAAATGTTATGGAACAGTCCTTACTAGACATAAATGTTCATGTTATGCTGTAATGCCAAGGGAGATATTTTGTTTAAAAAAGTCTTTGGGGCCCTCCCTGGTGGCTCAGCAGATTAAAGCACAACACTGAGAAGCTAAAGCCACTTCGTGAGTTCGATCCCCGACCTGTAGGTCACCCACAGGGCGTGGCAGACCTCTCCTGACCTGCCTGCTACTCCCCTCAGCAGTGTACTTCGTTGATCTGCCTGTTCTGCTCCCCACTCTGTTTCTGGTGAATCCTCTCACCTCCTGCACCTCTGGCTTGTATCACAGGTCTGTATGCATAAACAAATAAATCTTAAAAAAAAATCTTTGGTAGGTAGTTATGTAGGTGAGCAAGTGGGTAGAGAGCTAGGTGGATGGGTAGATAGATATCTAGGCTAAATTGAGTTCTGAGCTTCCTGGAGGCCATCCCGGGGTCCAAGGAATGTTTAGTCATTAGCTGGCCACCAACTAACGTTGTGCAGAGTGGGGTCAGCCCTGGACCCAGGTCTTATAAGTAAAGACGCCAATGGATAGATTGGCTGGCCCCAAGGAGTCCCGTCAGCAACCACTTTCGGACCAGAACCACTTACAAGAACAGAGACACTTTCACCTCCTGCTGACTCTCCAAAGATGGTCACAGAGCCTGGGTTCCCTCCAAAGTTAGCAATGTTCTCCTGGACCCAGCGCAGAGCAGCCAGCTGGTCCAAATGTCCCCAGTTTCCTGGGCAGTGCTCATCTCCTGTGCTAAGAGTAAGACAGCAGGTTGGGTTGGGGAGCAGAGGTGTCACGCGGGATCCTCAGGGACATGGGTGGGGCCGGGAGCTCCAGGGAGCCTTCTGGAATAAAACTGCTCTTCTGTGGCCCTCACCCGGGTCTTCCCTTGCCCCCTGTTCCCGCAGCGCAGTTCCACTGCGTGTTCATTCACCCCACTGAGCATTTACTATGGGCGCAGTCTTGTCCCTAGGATCTAGGAACAAATCTGAGAACAAAAGGGGCAAAATCTCACATAGAACTCATACTACAGATCATAAACGAATCAACAGATAAATACAGAAAAACAGGTAGTGAAAATGCTTCAGGAAAAATAAGCAGTAAAGGAAAAGGCAGAGGTGAGGTTGGGGAACAGGAAAAGGGCTGGAAGGATGAGGCCAGAAGCCAAGACAAAGTGGCAGCTCAAGAAGCTATGAGCAGGGGGCCTCCCCAGTGGTGCAAGGGGTTCAGTCTCAGCACTATGAAGCTGTCTGCAGCCACTGGTGACCCACAGGCTGCAGCAGACCTCTCCTGTCTCCCTGCTGCTCCCCTCAGCAGTGGATTTCTGCAGATCTACCTGTTCTGCTCCCCACTCTGTCTCTGGTGAGCCATTGCACGCCCCGCTCCAGCTCTTGTATGTATGCATAAATATTTAAAGGAAAAACAGCCGTGATAATCATGTGGAAGCTGCTACAGTTGGGCATGCAGCTGAGGTGAAGAGCAGCAGCTTGGGGGAGAATAGCAGGTAGCTCATGGAGCACTTTTAGAGTGACAGGAGCAAAGAAACAGGTCGTGGGTGGGACGGATGAGGACACTCAATGAAAGCAAGAAGGCACAGTCTTCTCTGAGCTGACACAGCTCAGACACCGGCCTCTGCCTCCCTAGGTCTTTCCAGCGAGTAGCGCACCGCCACCCCAGCCCACCCACCATGGTCAGGGCAGGAGTTCTGGGCCAGGCACTAGAAAAAGACTTCAGAGTAGCTGGGTCCAGAAACTCAGTTCGGTGCCCATGCAGAGTTGACCGAGAAGGTTCTAGAAGATTCTAGCCTTCACGCATGCTCATGCGTGTACCAAGACAGAAGGAAGTGGGGTGAGTGGGTAAACACTGCCCCCAGGAGGGCTGTCCACGAAGGTCAACACTCCCAGCTATTGGTGGGTGGCTCCAGCCACCCAAACTCCTTCACTCACAAGTTTGGCCTAATTTCCTGCCCCTTTCCTCCTTTCCTGTGAGGTAAGAGAAGCAGCCTGTCATTGCTGGGCTGCCTGCTCACTGTCACGAAGGAGGCCTGCCATGGGAGGGGACGGCATAGACGAAAAAGAAAAATGTTTCAGGAGGGAACATTGGAGCTGGGCCTTGCAGGGTGCATAGGAGTCTGTCAGGTAGATTAGGCATTCCAGGTAGAGGGGCCGGTTCATTCCAAAGCTCACAAACACGTGAACCAGAATGGCTGGAGGGCGAGAAGGTAAGTGGAGACTGATTATGAAAGGACTGACGAGGGGCGACTGGCCAGCAAAGGCCCCTGAGGACTGACGAGGGGCGACTGGCCCAGAACGCTCACCTGGAGGGCCGAGGTGCGGGAGGAGGCCTCAAACTCTTACCTGAAGAACCCCCAGATGCCCAGGCGGTACTGGATGGTCACCACCACCACGTTTTCATGGGCAGAGAGGGCCAGGCCATCGTAGGTTGACGCGGCGCCCACCAACAGGCCCCCACCATGGATCCACACCATCACCTGGCGGGGAGGAAGACCTCGCTGGTTACGGAAGCAGAGCTGGGGGTTGTCTGGTTTGCTCCCCTCAGCCACCATCCAAGGAGGCCATTACTAACATCCACATGATCCTGCAAAGTCAGAAAAGGGACTCCGGCCCCTCACTGTCCCTCCTGGGGCTCAGATCACCACCCCATACAGTGCACCCTTCGGGCCCCTGCCTGGGCCACCTTCTCTCAGGACTCCTCATGCTGAGAGCACCCCACCAGGAACAGTCTCGGCAAAAGCATGTCATCTCCTCCCAAATACTCGGTCACCTTCACGCTTGGGCCCCCTCGCCCAGTGCGCCATCATCTTAGTTACTTCTCCTGCAGTGAACTAAACTTCTCTGCTGCGCCAGTGACTTTCTTAAGCACAAGGGGCTGAGGGCTATCTCTTCCTTATAAGCCTTCCCTCTGCCTCCCCAATCCTACCCTTCCTCCAACGTCTGGCTGAAGAGTCACCTCCTCCAAGAAGTCTTCAGGAATCTGATGAACATGACCTGAGAACTGGCTGCTGCCAGGAACTGTGATGGGAAGCAGGGAGGAACGCTGACCCAGTGCAGAGCGCATAGCTCTTGCCGTTAGAAAGCTCAGGAAGCAATTTAATCAGGGTGGCTAAACACATGTTATAGTAACTTTGTCACTAAAAATCTAAAGAACTCAGGCCCTCCCAGGGGGCACAATGGATTAAAGCACTGCACTGCAATCTGGTCACAGCTGCTTCAGTGCAAGCTCGATCCCTCGCCCTGGAGCTGACCCACAGGGCGCGGCAGACCTCTCCTGACCCGCCCGCTGCTCCCCTCAGCAGTGTACTTTGTTGACCTGCCTGTTCTGCTCCCCACTCTGTCTCTGGTGAAGCCTCTCACTGCCCACACCTCTGGCCTGTACCCCAGTTCTGTATGCATAAGTAAGTCTTAAAAAAAAAAACCAAAAAACTAAAGAACTCAATACAGATGTGTGCTTGGTACCGTCCGAAGCACTTTTAAAAGAAACCATTCATGAGGTACCTACTGTGTCCCCTTGAACAGACAGGAAACTCGCACCGAACTTGTCCAACCATGCACCTGGTACATGGTGCTTCGTTTCACCCAGGAGGGCTGCTGTAGAGCCCCGGGCGCAGCTGGCACTTGGGCCAGCGAGGCCGAGGACCCACAGCAGCAGGCCAGCTGAAGGAATTGGATGGAAGGTCTCCCCTTGGGTGCCTGCTGATGCTGCAAGGGCGCTCGCCTGTCCACTGTGCCAGACACAGAGCTCAGGCTTGATATTCATCACTGAACACTGGTGGGGCCATTCCTGCCTTGGAGAAACAGCAAGTCTCTGCTCGCCAAGGCAGAAGCAGGATTATACCCAGACCCCACAGTTCCCTGGTCCCTAAGTGGAGGTTCTCTGCCCTCAGCTCCCAGGCCCTGTCCTCCCTCTCCCTGCCAACTTCTGGCAAGGGCACAGCAGTCATTTCTGAGTGAAGGCTGGGCCCAGAGTTGCTCAGTGTGATGTGCCCAGAAAGGCGGTGTCTGCAGCCCAGAAGGTGCGACCTTTGAAGGCAGGAGTCTTGCTGCCACAGTTGAATGTTCCTCCTCTTCCCCTGGCCCCTGAGAGTAATGATCAACATGGGGCACTGAGATCCTTAACAGAAGAAGGGATGGTGAAACTTCATCCCTTCATCGTCTTGGCTCACCTCTCTGAGCCAAGCATGGGCAGTGCCAGCTTTTAGTTACAGGTTCACAGATGCCCTCTCACACTCCTGGGCATCCTCCTGGGAGATGGTGGGGGTTCAGGCCACTCCCCATGCAGCTAACCCTCCCTTCCCAGCAGCCTGAGCCTGGAGGGGTCTCCATTTATTCTGCAAAAGCTGACTCATTGGGAGGGAAATTAGCTACATTAAAATCGCAGAGAGTTGGCCAAAGGCAAAGAAAAGTAATTCCTGGATTGCCCCGGGCTCTGCATGCTGTTCCCTGTGTACTCAGGAAAAGCCAGTCAGGTCAGAAGACCTGTGCTTTCCTGCCGACGGCCTGGCTGGTGACTCCTCCCCTCTGTGGGCCTCGGTGGGAAGACGGGACTGCTGCCTGTCTCTGGGAGCCCTTCCAGCTCTAACTGTCTCAGAAACAATGTCTTAGCTGCTCTGCTACTTATCAGACTCCTGACCAGTAACTAAGAGTAATCCTTCCATTACATGAAAGAACTTGGAATGTGCAAAGTTCCTTCCGCAGCGCTGTGTCTGTTTCTAGGAGAAACGGAAGTGTGGGACATGTGTTTCCTGTGTTTACGTGGTCTGGCTGTGGTGGGTGAAGGAGAAGGACCCTGCAGCGAGGCATCTGCCCCAGGCCGCCTTCATCCTCCTACCGTCTGCGCCAGGAGGTCCTGCAGCGCTGGAGGGCAGCGCTTGCCCGAAGTCTATGAGCGGCAGGCCCAGGCTTACCGGAAGTCTATGAGTGGCGGGCCCAGGCTTACTGGAAGTCTATGAGTAGTGGGCCCAGGCTTACCGGAAGTCTGCTTTTCGTGGTCAAGTCAGCAGGAGTGTAGATATTGAGGTAGAGACAGTCTTCGGAAGTCTTGAGAGAGATGCTCTCCTTTCTGTTGGTGAAGAGCTCTGACAGCACTTGGCCCCCAATGGCATCTTGGGAGCACCTGGGTTGGGTGGGGAGAAAGAAAATCCCTGATGCTCAACAGAGCTGAGCAAGGAGACATTCTCTCCCATCAGAGTGAGCCTGGACTGGGAGGTCTAGGTGTCAAGAAAGCTGTTCTTACCGGACTTACGTGCTGGAAGGGTCAGGGGGGTCTGGATGGGAGGCCCCGGGGCTTGTCAAGGTCACTGAGGGGGTCACTAGGCCCCACACACAAGCCTGTGTGATGGGAAGACCTACCAGCTCTTCCCGTCCCTCAGGATGCCCTGGGCCGAGAGGAGGCTGCCCGCCTGGGAGATGGCTTTTCCTGCACGCCCTGGACACAGCCCACTGGTACTGAGTTCAGAATGGTGGGCTACAGGGGGATGATGTTTCTCCACCAGGTAAACGTCTTCTAAACCACAGGAAACTTCCACAGTCCACAGAAGTCACTCAAATGGCAGTCACAAGGGCCTGCGGCAGGCCAGAGCTGAACTCTTTTGGGTCAGTCTCAGGAGAATTTAGTTTGTTGAGTGACCTTGGGTGAATTTCTTCCCAGCTCTGGTTGCCAATCTGCAGGCAGTGATTCCTGCTGGGGTCTTACAGCCCTGCTGTGCTTAGGATCTATCAAAAACCCACTCTGAGCAAGGGCTATCAGTTGCCTCAATAACAAAACTTCCACATAGATTGTAATTGGTGATATTTCTTGAGTCCACCCAGCATTCCAGGTGCTTTATTTTATTTTATTTTATTTTATTTTATTTATGTGTCCAAGAACTGGGTACCGGCCAGAAAGTGCAGGGAGTGAGAAGATTCAGCAGAGGCAGAGTGGGGAGCAGAACAGGCAGATGTACTGAAATACACTGCTGAGGGGAGCAGCGGGCGGATCAGGAGAGGTCTGCCGCGCCATGTGGGTCTGCTCCTGGGCTGGGAATCAAATCCGTGCTGCAGTGGCTGCAGATCGCTTCATGGTGCTGTGCTGTAACCCGATGTGCCACCAGGGAGGGCCCCAATCTGCCTGTTCTGCTCCCCACTCTGTCTCTGGTGAGTCCTCTCATACCCCTGCCCCTCTGGCCTGTCCTCTGGTTCTTCTATTCATGAATAAATAAGTAAATCTTGAAAATATATATAACTCCCTTCAGTGGCAAATGTCCATTGACAGGTTTTTGTATATTAATGGGAGGGGCATGGTTGGGACATTTCTGGAAAGAAAATGCAATTTCTTTGAATTCACCCCCAAATATTTGTGAATGTGCATAAAGACTTAGCTACTGGATGTTTATCACAGTGTTACTTATATTTTTAGAAACAACTTAGGTAGGGACCCCCAAATAAGAAATTGGGTCAATAAATTACAGTTCAAGACCTGAGGTAATATTGCTATTTCATGTCAGGCTGTGAGAGTTAATGACATAGAATGATGTTCATGATGTACTTGTAAGTGAGCAAAGCAGGCATAAGTATAGTGTGATTCCATTTCTAAGGGAGGAAATATGCAACAGATTAAAGCCTGGAAAAACAACCTTTGTTTTGGTGATTATGTTTGGTGATAGGTTCATCTACGGTTCTCATTTACTTATCTTTAAAGATTTTACTTATTTTTGTGTAGAAAAACTGGGATGCAGGCCAGAAGTGCAGGGTTGGGAGTGGGGCGTGAGGGGAGATGAGTGAGATGATTCCACCAGATGATGGAGTGGGGTGCCGAACAGATGGATCTACTGAAATCCACTGCTGAGGGGAGCAGCGGGGAGACAGGAGAGGTCTGCTGCACCACGTGGGTCACTCCCTGTCTGGAGATGGAACTCAGCCGTAGGTGACAGCGCTGAGACTTAACCCCAGGCCACCAGCGAGGCCCCTTGCTTACCATTCTCTACGTGCGCTTCTTCACTGTTCTGTAGTAAGGACACATTACACTTACAGTTGGGAAATAAAAATAGTGACTAGGATTTCAAGAGAAGGAAGGAAGAGGGGGAAGGGAATGGAGAAAGAGGAGAGAAGAAAGGCAGCAAGAGGCAGGACCCTGGAAATTCCCAGAAAACCTTGCTGAGGTGAATAAGACATCTGAGGTGCCCTGGGGGGTGAAACTGGGGCTTGGTGAGGGTGAGCGGGGCCCAGTCACTGCTCTGCTCGTGTCTAGGTGGCTCATATTGGCAGTTGAGAACTTGCCTAATCAACACCCCAAGCACTCACCCACCCTCCTGCCCCACCCCCATAGACCTCTTGGCTTATCCTACCTTCCAACTCTGGGAAAGTTCAAGAAAGGAGCATAAATAGAATCATTACTTCTGATCCACTCATCTGCTGGACTCTTATTTCTTTCCAGATCACTCACCATATTTCTACATATAACACCACTGACTTATCAACATGTGTATTGTGTGCTGTGTACCCCTGCTAGAAGGCAAGCTCCCTGAAGGTGGGATCTTTGTTCTGTTCACTAATGGATCCCAGGTGCCTAGAACACACACACAAGGCATACAGTATGTGCTCAGTAAATGATGCAAAACACAAGGCTCTAAAACATCGGGTGAGTTCCAGGAATTTTTTTTAAAGGATCTACGCGAGCTTGAGGATTCCAGAACAAAGTAGAAGCCACCCAGACACTCTGATGCCAACATCCCCACCGCAAGATACCCCAGGCCACACCCGCCACGGCTTACATGGGCGGGTAAGAGGTGGTGTTCTTCACGAAGTTCCATGGTTCTGCAGGCTGCGGGGCGGTGAACCTCAGGGGTCCGAGAGGCGGCTTGGCAAAAGGGACACCCAGGAAGACGGCCACAGGCTTCTGGAATCCTTTCAGGGGGACATACTTCCCCAGGACTTTGCCCTGCACGGTGTCCACGACAGGTGCTTTGGATGAGTGTCCTGCTGGACAAGAGGACACGTCAGAGGGGAAGGGTGTGACGTGGTCTCATGTGCATCCTGTCCTTCAGCATGGGACCTCGAGGGAGTCACTTTGACTCTCTTGGCCTCAGTTTTTTCCTTGTGTAAAGGAGAGATGAGGTTCACTGACCTCCCTGACTCCCACAGGTGTTCCGAGGAGCAACCTGGAATCGAAGTTAATCCAGTAGATGACAAATGCAAGATGCAGAACACATTTGGTGTCCACACCCGGAGCCTCAGAAACAATGATCCACTGTTATGGGGCCTGCTTGCCACTGTGTGAGGGCCTGGGCACGAGGCTTTCTAAACCCTGTCAGGTGGGTGAGCTCTGTACACCTTGACCCTAGGGTTGGTGTGCAAGTGGCCAAGTCCTGGGAGCCAGTCAGGTTGGCTCTACAGGAGTTAGGGGAGGAAAGCAGGCCTTTTGCTTGGTGGCTTTGTGGAAGGTGTAGACTTGGGCTGGGCCTTGCAGTAGGGGAGAGTGAAATAGGGGATCTGAGGAGAGGCCAAAAAGTTAGAAAGTAGAGAATAGAGTGTTCTAAGGCAAGGGTCAAGACAGCAAGTGCAAGGCTTGGCCTAGGGAGAGCCAGTGACCCAGTTGGGCCAGATGGAATCTGGGGGAGTAGAAGATGA